TAATTGAAATGAATGGAATTGCACAGGACACCAATAGCAATGAAAAGGAAACTGGGACTCAAATCAATGGAGTGGACCAGAAGAAAGCAAATAATGGCCAAACAGAAAAGAGTAAAGAAGCAAGAATTCAAAGAAATGAGGAGAGTCTTAGGAACCTCCAGGACATCTTTAAACGCTCCAACATCCGAATTATAGGGGTACCAGAAGGGGGAAAGGAACAGCCACCAGTGGAAAACTTATTTAAACAAATAATAAAGGAGAATTTCCCCAATCTGGCAAAGCAAATAGACTTCCAGGAAATCCAGGAAGCTCAGAGAGTCCCAAAGAAGTTGGACCCAAGAAGGAACACACCAAGGCACATCATAATTACATTAGCCAAAATTAAAATGAAGGAGAGAATCCTAGAAGCAGCAAGAGCTAAGGGGACAGTCACCTATAAAGGAGTTCCCATCAGACTGTCAGCAGATTTCTCAAAAGAGACCTTACAGGCAAGAAAGGGCTGGAAAGAGGTATTCCAAGTCATGAAATCTAAAGACCTACATCCAAGATTGCTCTATCCAGCAAAACTTTCATTTAAAATGGAAGGACAGATAAAGTGCTTCTCAGATAAGATCAAATTGAAGGAGTTCATCATCACCAAGCCCTTATTATATGAAATGTTAAAGGGACTTATCTAAGAAAAAGAAGTTAAAGAAACATGAACAGTGAAAGGACAACAAACTCACAGTTATTAACAACCACACCTAAAACAAAAGCAAAGTAAAAGGACAGCTAGATCAGGAGTGGAAACATAGAAATGAAGATCTCAAGGAGGGTTAGCAACAGGGGGAGTGGGAGGAGGGAGAAGGGGGGAGAAGGTACAGAAAATAAGTAGCATAGACAGTAGATAGAAAATAGATGGGGGGGGGCAAGAATAGCATGGGAAATATAGAATCTAAAGGACTTGAGACACATGGTCATAAACTAAAGGGGGGGTAATGGTGGGGATGAGGGGTAGGGTGGAGGGGAATAAAGGGGGAATAGAACAACTGTAACAGCATAATCAATAAAAAAATTTAAAAAAAAAAAAGAAGAGGAGATGCCCAACTAACCTCACTGAGGCATCTCTCAAGCGATTCAAACTAGACAGTTAACCCCCAAATTTGAAATCATAGCATGACTTTTCCTCCCTCACCAGCCACAAAGAAACTGTTGATTTACTAACTTGGGGAAGAGGATATGCTTGTGTCTCCTCTCCGGAGGGATCCTTAGAGCTGCCAGTGCAGAGGGCGAAGACATGTCATAGAAAAGGCTACCCAGCTCCGTGACCCACCTCCATTCCATTGGACTCCCCCAATCCGGGAAGAAATAGCATGGATGACGAAGATGCCCTTGTCACTCGCCAACAACTCACTTGTGATCCATGCTGCTCTGAGCTGTGTGTCACCCCCCTGAAGTGGAACTCCAGTCAGCACTCATGGGAGGAAGTCCAACATCACCTGTGAGGGGCCTTTTCCCCCAATATCAAGGGACAAACCGAACAACTCCTGCTTGAGCTACGTCAACAGCTTCAGGACATGAAGCAACTCACTGAGAAGGAGGTCTTTCAGACCCTGCATGACAACCTACAATGGCTCAATCCAAAGACTTGGTTTGAAGGACTAAATTTACATGTCTGGGTCATGGGAGCCATGGGATGCCTCCTAATTATTGTGGTCTTTTGTGCCTTGAAATGTATATACAAGTTGATTTCCAGGGATTGTATACACAACGAGCAAGTAGTTTCATTGGACTTCCAACCATATCTGCCATAACAAACAAAAAAGGAAGAGATGTTGGGGACCACACTGTGTGGTTTCAGAGATGGTAGCCTCACAAGAGCAAGCCTTGAAGGGGGCTACTAAGTCTCCCTGGGAAACCAGGTAAAAACGCAGGTGGCAGGCATGACTCGACTCTAACACCCAGGGTTCCTGTGGGAATCAGACTTGAAATGTACATTTTATCCTGTGAAGCCTGCTTTGCCCAGTGATAAACGCTGTTAATATAAACTGGATGTTTAGTTAAGTTCAAGGCAAAAGGAGTAAACTCCTTATTTCATGAAACACGCCTTAAAGACCCTCTGGAGTCAGCATGACTAGCAGACCCTGACCTCTGACAAATCTCTGTGTTCCTTCAATTGTTATCTATAGATAGTAGCTGTTTTTGTGTGACTATAGCCTTTTGATATCGATTGACGAGCTATGCATGTATGATGTATACACCTATATATAATATACCATTCCGAATAAAAGCCATTTGGGAGAAGGGCTCGGGCATAGTCCTTCAAATAAAACCAAACCGGTCTCCCTCCTTTCCTTTGCATCCTGCCCACTGGTAATATGATCCACAGAGAGCGGCTGGAGGAAATTATTGACTATAATTAGATCGTGGCTCTCCCTTGATTCCATCCTCTCTCTCTGGCTCCCCAGAGCACTTTGAGTAAAAACCAAACTCTTCGTCATGGCTTGAAGAGTCATGGTTATATCATTATATAATGATTCGATGATAGATATATAGATATAGATATACACATATACACACATATATGCTGTGAAATGACTACCAGTATCAGTTTATTCATCACCTCACATAGTTACACATTTTCCCCCTTGTGATGAGAACTTTTAAGATCTGCTGTCTTAGCTACTTTCTGCATTGATATTCAATTTGCACCCTTTCTGAAGGTGTGATCACACTGAATCCCTCCTTGAACATGCTAGGTGGTGCCCGTTGGCTTGGGTATGGAGTCCAAGCACTGTCCCTTGCTTTTCAGGGCCCCACACCTTCCAGCTCCATCTCATACCACAGGGCCCCTGGAGACCATGAGCTCTGTCCAGTGCAGATTTTAGGCATGAACATAAATGACCATGTGTGTGCCAGCATGCCACAGGGTCTTGGACACAGAGTGATCTGTCTGTCTGGAATGCCTTCCCCTCCTGCCTCAACATGGTAGACTGCTACTTATCTTTCAGCGCTCACCTTTGGGGTTTCACCTTCTGTGAAGCCTCGCTTGGTTCCTACCAGGAAGAGTTAGTGGCTGGGTTCTCCTTTCTAGAGGAAGTAGGACTCTAGTCTCTGTTACATGCTACTCTAATGGTTGCCCACTTGCTTGTCCCCTCAGCATTTGACCCTGTGTGGTGTCTGTGCCCCAACAGCACACACTGCTCACCTTCTCTTACCCCACCCACAGCTCCAACACAGCGACGCACAGTGCTCACTTATCACATGGCTCGTCCCCTAGTCCCCAGTGCCAAGTACTTGATAAGGCTTCCATAAATACAAGTTGGTGAACTGCGACCAGGCATCCCATTCTAGAGCAAGGTACATCCCATTCTAGAGCAGGGTTGAGTTTCACTTTGAACATGGATGTGCATTCCCTGGTTTGTGTTGGGAACCTCAGCACCTTGAGGACAGAGCCAAGAGCAAAGAAGCACCTGCCGTGGACCAAGCCATGTCCCCATTCCTTGGTTCATCTTTCTCCAGGGTATCAGTGAAGATAGCAGTGTGTCCAGGGGGCTCCTGCTTCCTCCCGTTCAGGGCAGCATTTGTTGAAACGGGGGAGTGGGAGGAGTTGGGGGGGCTGAAGAACCTAGGTCCCCAGGTCTCTCATAGTGTGGAGCAAGGGCAGGGTTTCCAGTCCAGATTGTGTGCTCCCAAGGACAAGCTCAAAACCAGACTATGTCCTTCTGCCTCCCAGGGCCCTGTATTGTCAAGGACTGACATGCAACCTGCTCCATGGATACTTGTGGCGTGGCATTATGAATATATGAATATGTGTTCTTGTGTTCTCTATTGCCTCTTTTGCAAGTGTTGCAGAGGAGGCAAAGAGCTTGGAAAGCGGGAGGGATCTTTGAGAAAATGGGTCAGCAGACTGCAGGACAGCTTGCCCCATTTGCTCCAGCTCCCACTCCAAAAAAGGAGTTGTTTCCCTTGTGGCAGTGATGTTGGAGAGTGTGTATGCACTTTGAGGTGGGAAGAGTCCACCTGAATGTGAGAAAAACGTTTTGCTTGGCTTTGTTCAGGCCAGGCAAGTGTATTCACAATGCCACCCCCACTCCCCTGTACAACGTGGGATCCAATCACTTAAATGTTCTATGGGGTCAGGAGGGATAACACAAAACACCCTAAACCGAACCTGTATTCCCTCAGCGCACCGTGGAGCCCTTTCCCTGCTGCTTCTTTATAATATTCAGGCGACCTGAGAGGCTGAGGACTCCCACCCACGTCACCCCCAACCCAAGCTTCCCGGTCCTGCCCCCTCCCACCGCCCGCAGCCCCGCGGCAGCCACAGGGGGGAACCAAAGAGACAGAAGCCTTCCCAGCTGCCCGGACCGCAGACGCCAACACCCCCCTGCCCCCCACCACGCGCCGCCCTCCCGAGCCCTGCACGCTTGCCCACGACTGAGCAGCGGCAGCAGTAAACTGGAGGCAGCGGCGACTCGCAAAGGCGCACTCCCTGGCAGTGCTTGCCATCCCAGGTGACTTGGTCTCGCCAGGTCTGCTGGTCCAGGGTCCCCTGCCCCAGCACGCTCCCGTCCCGGGCTCCAGTGCCCACCAGCCCTGCTGCCCTCTCCCGCCTCTCCATACCCCCACCAGATTGCGGGAAGGGAGGTCGCGGCAGCGGCCCGGCAGCACCGGCGACCGTGGCGACAGCTACGACAGTGGCGGCGGCGGCAGCGGCTGCAGCGGCGGCGGAGGCTGCGGCAGCGACCGTGGCAGAGGCGGTGGCGGAGGCCTCGGTAGCAGAGACGGAAACAGAAGTGGAGACTGAGGTGGAGGCCGAAGCCTCAGTAGAGGAGGAGGCAGTGGCAGAGGCCACCCTGGGGGAGGCAGCAGCCGCCCTGGCCGGGGAGGAGGCGGAGGCCGCTCTGGCGGCAGCAGCCCTGGCGGTGGCGGTGGCGAAGGCCAGTGCCCACGAAGCCTCTGCAGCAGCAGAGGCTGAGGCGCCCGTGCTGGACGAGAAGGATGCTGCTGAGGATTCGGACGCGGAGGCGGAGGCGGTGGCGGCGGCCGTGGCGGCTGCGGCGGCGGCAGCTGCAGCCACCGCGGATGCGGAGACCGGCGGGGGCTCTGAAGAGAGCTCAGACTTCCCTATGGCCTCATTGTACGTGGGAGACCTGCACCCTGAGGTGACAGAGGCGATGCTGTACGAGAAGTTCAGCCCCGCGGGGCCTATCCTCTCTATCCGAATTTGCAGAGACAAGATCACCCGCCGCTCCTTGGGTTACGCATATGTCAACTACCAGCAACCGGTGGATGCCAAGCGGGCCCTGGAGACCCTGAACTTTGATGTCATCAAGGGCAGGCCAGTGCGCATCATGTGGTCCCAGCGGGACCCCTCGCTGCGCAAAAGCGGGGTGGGCAACGTCTTCATCAAGAACCTGGGCAAGACCATCGACAATAAGGCTCTGTACAACATCTTCTCGGCGTTCGGCAACATCCTCTCCTGCAAAGTGGCCTGCGACGAAAAAGGGGCCCAAGGGCTACGGTTTCGTGCACTTCCAGAAGCAGGAGTCCGCTGAGCGGGCCATTGATGCAATGAATGGCATGTTCCTGAACTACCGGAAAATTTTCGTTGGGAGATTCAAGTCCCATAAAGAACGAGAGGCTGAAAGGGGGGGCTTGGGCCAGGCAGTCCACCAGTGCTGACGTCAAAGATTTCGAGGAAGACACCGACGAGGAGGCCACCCTGCGATGAAGACATCCCAGGAGCGAGCCAGCCAGCAGAGCCAAACCTTGGCTCCGACCCGGTTTACAACCCGCTCTTTGTCCCCCTAACCCACCAGCAATGTATTGTATTGAGAGGGCAGCTCTCTCTCTCTCTCTCTCTCTCTCTCTCTCTCCCCCCCCCCCCCGTCTCTCCCTCTCTCTCCCCTCCTTCCTCCCTCCTTCTCCTGCCCTCCCTTTCACCCTCTATCTTCTTTTCTCTTTCCTTTCCTTCTCCCCCACACCCACCAAGGGCGTTGTGAATAATCTTGCTACTCTGTGCCATTTGATAAATTAGACGCTGCCTCCTCTCCTCCTGGTTTGGTTTTAGAAAGCACCTTCTCGCTTTGTTTACTGCACAGGTGATACCATTTCATGGTAGAAACATCAGAAAGCAGAAGGAAATCAGATGAGGGGAAGCCAAGAGAGTACTTACTGCCCCTTATTCAGCTACCCAGAGACAACTACTTGTACCTTTTCGGTGTACTGTTTTTCCAGGCTGTCTTCTCTCCCTCCCTCCCCTCCCCGTTCTCACCCCCCACTGCTCCTTCCCTTTTAACACACTGTTATAGACCGGTTCATTATGTGGTGTTTCTCAACATGCATTTTCACAAACTAAAACCAAACAAAAATCGACCCACTGAACTTCTTTCCATGCCATTCAACAGGCTCCCCGAAATGTCATATTCAGTGCCTGCAGAGTGTATCGATGGATCTTGACATTTCTGTGACCATTTCCGCATTGCTGGACATTCAGGTGGTGCCTAGCTCTTTCCCTATGTTGGAACCCAACACTGCATACACTGATGAGTGACTCCCTCCTTGTCAAGCCAAATCTTGGACTTGCAGGATCTACCCATGGACATTTTAGACACATTTCCTGTCTGTTGCCAAAAGACCCCTTCATGAGTATTGAACCGATTTGCATTCATGCCCACCAGCACAGCTAGTAAAAAACAGTATGCCCATTTCCCCTGCATAGTCTCCTGGTAACTATAATTGATGTGTGGGAGTGCGTGTGTGTTGGCCAGCTGGATGAGCTGCAAGTGGCATTTTGCTGTCCTTGGTTGTTTTCCTGGATTTAAGTACTGTGTATCACCCACCTCCTTCCCCTGTGCCTACTTCCTGCCATTTTCCCATTGTCAAAAAAAGGTAAATAATAACAACTCAGCTTCATTGCAGAAAAAAATCACAAAGCAGACTAGTTAGCAGAAGGACATTGATGTCACTAGTTAGTAATCAATCCTTATGACCACCCATGTCTTCCTGAATCATTTTCAGCTGCACCTGCCCAATATTTTTCACGTGATATATATGTGAATTTTAATGCATATACTGTTTCAATATCTGCTTTTTCATACATAAATATATAATGTAGATATATATATAGATGTATAGTTAGATATTCTCAAACTACTTTCATGTCATTAAATATTCTTCTAAAATACTTTCCATGGTTGTTTAGTGTTCTAGTCTATGGGTTAGATAGAGGAATAGATAGATGCATGTATGCATCTAGTTCCATATTTAGATGTAGGTATGTGGTTTTTTCACTGTCTTATTTTTTTATTATTTATTATTTTTATTGATTATGCCATTACATTTGTTCTATTTCCCCCATTCCCCTCCACCCTGCACACCCCTCCTCCACCATTCCCCCCTTTAGTTCATGAACACCTGTCTCAAGTTCTTTAGATTCTGTATTTCCCCTACTATTCTTACCCTCTCCCTATCTATTTTCTATCTACTGTCTATGCTACTTATTTTCTGTACCTTCTCCCCCCTTCTCCTCCCACTCCCCTGTTGCTAATCCTCCACGTGATCTTCATTTCTGTGGTTCACTCCTGATCTAGCTGTCCTCTTAATTTGCTTTTGTTTTTGTTTTAGGTATGGTTGTTGATAACTGCGAGTTTGCTGTCCTTTCACTGTTCATCTTTAACTTCTTTTTCTTAGGTAAGTCCCTTTAACATTTCATATAATAAAGGCTTGGTGATGATGAACTCCTTCAATTTGATCTTATCTGAGAAACACTTTATCTGTCCTTCCATTCTAAATGAAAACTTTGCATGATAGAACAATCTTGGTTGTAGTTCTTTGGTTTTCATGACTTGGAATACCTCTTTCCAGCCCCTTCTTGCCTGTAAGGTCTCTTTTGAGAAATCTGCTGACAGTCTGATGGGAACTCCTTTGTAGGTGACAGTCTCTTTATCTCTTGCTGCTTCTAGGATTCTCTCCTTCATTTTAATCTTGGCTAATCTAATGATGTTGTGCCTTGGTGTGTTCCTTCTTGGGTCCAACTTCTTTGGGACTCTCTTTTGAGCTTCCTGGATTTCCTGGAAGTCTATTTCCTTTGCCAGAACAGGGAAGTTCTGTTTTATTATTTGTTCAAATAAGTGTTCTACTCGTGGCTGTTCCTCTTCCCCTTCTGGTACCCCTATAATTCAGATGTTGGAACATTTAAAGATGTCCAGGAGGTTCCTAAGCCTCTCCTCATTTTTTGGAATTCTTGTTTCTTCATTCTTTTCTGTTTGGTCATTTTCTTCTTCCTTCTGGTCCACTCCCTTGAATTGAGTCCCAGTTTCCTTTTCATTACTATTGATTTCCTGTGCATTACCTTTCATTTCAATTAGTTTAGCCTTCATATGTTCTTCTAATTTGTGACTAAAATCAACCAATTCTGTGAGAATCCTGATCACCAGTGGTTTGAACTGTGCATCTGAAAATTTGGCTATTTCTTCATCACTTAGATTTATCGGCTCTGGAGCTCTGAGTTGTTCTTTAGCCTTGTTTTGATCTGTTTGTACCTGTTATGTATGAGGAGGGGAGCCTTAGTTGTTTACCAGGGCGGGGCCACCCAGGTTGCTGGTTTGTGATGCTGTATGTGGGGGCGAGGTCAGAGCGGGAGTAATGGCGGTCCTCTCTGCTCACCCAGTGCATCCCACCGCTTGCCCCCGCCTGTTTATCTGAGTGGAAATGTGCGAGCCCGCCGCCCTGCACCATGCGGTCTCAATGCTCGCCTCTTCACTGGTTTATCTGCATGGAAATGCTTAACCAACTGCAGACAGACAGCCCGCCTCTTCCCTGTGTCCACCCATAGCCCACACCTGGGATCCGTGCCTTCGGCTGCTGGTGCACTACCCCGGTCGGGGATCTTTTTGGCCAACCCGCTCTGCTGCTGGCTTCGTCCCTCTTACTGGTTTAGCTGAGGATTTCGTTGTTTTCGGACTCCGTATTGTCGATTTTCTGTGTGGTTTGGTTGCGTTTATTGTTGTTAAAACTTTGTTGCTTTTAGATTTGGTTGTGTGCAGACGCAAGGCATTTCCTCCTACGCCTCCATCTTGGCGGAAGTCCTCACTGCCTTATTATTGTTGAACATTTGAGTGGTTTTTTCTGAAGCTAAACTCAAACTGCTAGCAATATCATAGTGCACATACCTTGTGTACATTCAAGATTATTTCCTGAACAAACATTGCTAAAAGAAGAGTTAAAGGCTCAAACAAAATGGAAGGTTCAAAATATTTTCATTTTTTGCTCTAGTAGTGCACTATTGATGAGAATGCAGACTGGTGCAGCCACTGTAGGAAACAGTATAGAGTGTCCTTAAAAAAGAGAAATCTCTTTTACCCAGTAATTCCACTTCTGGGAATATATCTTAAAAATCCTGAAGCACCAGTACAAAAAATATATACACCTGTATGTCCATAGCAGTGCTATTTATAATAGGGAAGATTTGGAAGCAGCCCAAGTACCCATCAGTGAATGACTGGTAAAAAACTCTGTGGTTCATTTACACAATGGAGTATTACACAGCAGTAATAATGAATCAATTCTTACCCTTGTGGCAGCATAAATGGACCTGGAGAACATTATGCTAAGTGAAACAAGCCAGTCAGTGAAAGACAAATATGACACAATCTTACTTATATGTGGGATCTAGTGAACATAACAAACTAATGAACAAAACAGAAACAGAAGCATAGATACATGGAAAAGTCAGACAGCTGCCAGAGGGGATGGGAGGGGACTGGGTGAAAGATGGTTGAGGGATTAACCAAGAATATTTATGCATGATCCACTGACAGAAACAAGGATGTGGGGATTGACTGAAGGATGGGAGGCAGTGGGGCTGGGTGGAGATGGGCAGAGGGAAAGTGGGGACAACTGTAATAGCATAAACAACAAGAAAAATGAAGTAAAATATTTTTTGTTCATTATTAAATGTCTATTCACCAAGATAGTAGTAATTTACTCTCATCAGGTCACATATATTGTGAGAGGTCCTGAATGTACACCTGGACAATTTTCTGGACTTGTTATTGCAATCGTTTTTGCATTATTGTAAAATTTTATAAGGGCAATTGTACCTATTCATTTTCATTTATTTTCAGCATTTATTTTTACACCAATAATGCAGTATCATAACAGAAACTTCGTTAACTTTTAAGAAAAAAATTCAAAATCACTCCAAATTCTACTACTTGAGAAAAAATTTAAAACACATGAAATATGTACATAAATAAATAATACCTTCAAATTATAATACGTATTGTTTTATTGTTGGATACTTGCACTATAATTGGTGTTATCATCTTTCCAAATTATTAAATACTCTTCTGTAAGTTGTTTTTACTTTATGTTCCATGTTACAGATGAGCTATTATTTCTAAAACTCAATTCCTTTATGTGTGTTTAAATTGTTCTCCCCACCCCAGGTAAGATTAACTCTTCTAGGAAAATATTTGTAGGTGAATGTTTGCCTGCACATGGAAACATTTAATTGTCAAATATACCATGCCAGTTTGTTGCTGAATGCTTCTTCCACAAAGGTTATGCCCATGAACAGTGTAAGAGAGTATATTTCCCTGCTCATTTTCTTTATATTTTCAAGTTATGAGACATTGGTTAAACTTGTGGATTTTTCCTTTATTACTTCATTTTACAAGTGCATTACTTGAAAAGGAAGATATACATATTAAATATACACAACAACCA